GCATGCCTTTTATCCCAGCACTGTAGAGGCAGAGGCAGCCAGATCTCTGTGAGTTTGAGGCCAGCCTGCTCTACAGAAAAAGTTCCAGGACAGTCAGGGCATCACAGAGAAACCCTGTCTTAAAAAACCAAAACCAACCAAACAAACACCAACAAACACAACTCGGTTGCTATTCTTTTCTTTGTACATTTATTGAGTTTTCCCAACTCCTGGGCCTGCTTCATTGCATTTTAGCCCTATGGTTGAGTTAGGCCCTTAGCTTTCCATGTAAGGCTTTGCCAGGCAAGATTTTGCCCCGGCTGGAGGGGGAGGGGGGCATACAGGCTAGGAAGGCATCTGGCATAGACTTGACAACAGGTCCAGGGAGGCATAGAGTGCACACATGGGACCCTCAGACTTTGGTTCCCAGTGCACCTGGGGGGTGTCCACCCGCAGCGTTAGGCCACATTCTTCTAGCAAGACCCAGGTGGGAGCCTCCTCATCCCAGCTGTTCCCAAGGAGGCTGAGGGGCAGGGACACAAAGCTTGGCTCCTGCCATGGGGTGCTCTGTTCCAAGATATGCTCCACCTACCAGCAGAGGAGGGGGAGAGGTTGTAGGTGGTGGACCTGTAGCCTGAGCCCCAGGGCTCTGCAGCACTTGCCAGTGTCAGCCTTCCCGGATGTACCCAGGGCCCCGCCACATCCCCAGGGCCATGGCCTCTCACCAACTCCAGCTGCTTCAACAGCATCCTTGTCTCCAGAGCCTCAGCCAGCAGCTTCTGCTGGGTTTCAGTCAGCGCTGGGGAGAGAGATTGGGACTGAGAGAGAGTTCTGGAATGCCCCAAATGAAACCCAGTTTTCCCTTCCTGTCCCATGCTAATCTAATCCTCCAGGGGCTGCTCACCAGTCAGTGCTCCCAACAGGTAGGAGATGGGCTCAGCAAGTTTCAGGACCAGTTCTCCAGAGGGAAGCACCAGACACTTGAGGATGCTGCCTGCCGGGCCATCCAGAGGTTCCACCTGCCCGCCACTGCACAGGCCCTGCTCCAGCTGAGGCACAGGTGGGGTAAGTGAGGCTGGGCAGGCTTGGGTAGGCCCTGTCCACCCCCAAAACCCACC